TCATACCCACCAGTCACAGAAAATCGCTTTGGTTCTTAAATAATGTTTACCGCACTTGCAGGCCGTGCCTGTCCCACATGAAAAACATCGAAATAGTTTGTATGCATTTGTACGTACGAGTAGACGGTACAMTAWATTTGACAATCTTTCTTTCTGATCTCGGTCGTGCCAAATATTGATCATCTATCATCTGCCACCGAAGTGTAGGTCGCAATGACACTGAGAAATGGTTGCAGCCATACACAACACAATTTCCATTGATATTAGACATACTAACAGAACTGAATCGAATCGGCGCAGCATTTCTGCACCATGACGTCCCCCTTTCGATTTAGTGTTTTGCGGGCACTGTTCTTTTCTTATTCTTGCATCATTCATCGTGCTATTTCCTGCGATGTGCATTACCAACAGGCTCGTCAAGAACGAAGAGCCCTGGATGGGTCGTTGTGGTCAGATACGGATTCAACGGAGGGACCGATCAACCCACACCTTTTGTTTCATGGGAAACTAAAAAACGATCTCGGGCAACCCGTAGAGGGTGCCCAGGTACAATTTTGGCACGCGGATTACAACGGGAACTACCTCCACCCGGGAGATGATTTGGATGGGAACGAATACCTGAGAGACTCTTTTTCGTATTTTGGCACGGCGTCCACCGATAATGYGGGGAGCTTTGAATTCAAAACGTACCGGCCCGGAATATATCTGTCGCGCCCGGTAACGCACATTCACTTCAAGGTGTTCKACGAGGGGCGAGAACTATTGACGTCCCAATTCTACTTTTCAGACGAGGACGTGCAAATGTTTTACGACGAAATGCTGATACTCACAATGGAACAAACCATCGACGACGACGGGAACGCCGTCAACCACGTCTCGAAGGACGTGGTCGTCAACATGAACATGGGAGGCTTCGAAAAACTCACCCCGTGGCAAATGGAAGGTCCCTTTTATCCCCTCGTCGACTTTTTCGATGTCTCGAGCGACATGACGCTAGGACTGATGGAGACCTATTACGATCACATCGCGGTGGACGCTTCTTCCAAGAACCCTACAAGCTTGGCCCAACGTAAGTGGAACATCCCGTTCGTCCCGTCGTTGGTGATCGCAATATTTCTTGCTCGAGAGATGTTGTAGTCTCACCGTCCTCGAAGTTTCCACCAATAAGCCGACACTCGTACCGTCACCGAGACCCACACGGAGACCAACGSCAAAGCCTTCTTCGGGACCTTCTCCGAGACCCGTGCCTGATATGGGGTTTGGGGGCCCGGAGTTTGACAACCTGGACGAGTTCCTTGCGTTTCTCGGGGAAGGCGATCGCAATGATATCGTCACAGGAGAGGGTAACTATRCTGTGAATTTCGGCAATGATACCGATGTTGATGACAGCGAGCTCGCCAACGAGATTCCGTTGGAATTGGACGGGGATGTTGGTGAGGACGAAGAATCACCAGCTGCTCCCGGGAATGCCACAACAGCTGCCATCGACAACGGCAATGGAGACGACGAAGGCACGGCGACAGTAGACAAAGATTCGTCCACGGAAACCACGCTGGTGTCTTCSTTTGTYGAGACGGCTCTCTCCAAGAAGCTTCTGAGCAACAACCATTGGGATCCGGCGACACCCGGGGGCGAGGCGCGATTTCTGCGGAGCAGGAAGTAGCAGCGCGACTCGTTCTGCAATGTGATGAATTGGATCRGACACGTCGCAGCYACAATCCCGCGTGATGTAGAGAATCGAACAAGTTTCCATTTCCACAAGAATAGCTCACTAGTAGTAGATGAAACAAGATTTGTGCATGGCTAGGAATACTAACACTTGAAAAGTAGTAGGCACTGTTACTACCAGCGAAGAATGATAAGCTATTGGTATATTGTTGTTCTTCATACTATTTGTATTAGAAGTAGTAATTGAACTATTCCTAGTGTCTAACGATCTCCTAACTCTCCTCATTTCAAAAATGGGGATGACTAGATAGCAGCGACTAGCCTGGGCCCTGACTCTTCGTACTACCGGTAGTTACGATACCAAGCAACCTCTCGCAGACCAAAAGCATTTTCTGTTTTTTTTGGCTCGGTGTCATTTTTTTAGGTAGGATGGGAAAGTAATTTTTGTCTTGTTGTTCTTCATCTTTCAGTGAATACAAAACGACAATACCGATCGACCAAAGGAAAAATTGAGATTGTTTAATAATTTCTTCTGGACTCCTGTTGTTTTCTAACGAAATTCGAAAAAAGTATCAAGATGGTTTTCGAATTGGCATGCACGCTGCGCTACGAACCAGAACAGAAGATGATACTTCTTACAGTAATATACTTATGCTCGTACTAGTACGGGTTCTACCTGTGTTTTGCGTACGAAATTAGGTGCTCCGTACGGTAGCCTACGGTAGTGCGATGACATCGCTGATGACACCCCCGTCAATACGAAAACAGATAACCGGTACAACTTGCTTCGTCGACGACGGCTCGAGTCCTGTTTGTTTCTCTCCCTCGCTCCACCTTACTAGTACGGYAGCTACTAGCAATACGAATAACGAGTGAAACATAGCCTGGAAGATTTTTGAATCTGGAACCTGTCTGTCGTTTCAGCTTGAAGTATTTCCATCATCTTGGGTGGTACCATTTCCTTTTTTCTTTCTAGTACAGTAGTAAAAAAAAGAACCGGAGGAGTCGAGTCACCCACCCGCTGGCAATCCCCAAATTGTATCGTATCTGAACTGGGGATCAATCGACAAACGCAACACAGCGCAACTTGAGSCAAAGCATCGCAACGCAACGAAGGCCCGGAGCATCTCCAGAACACCGAAGCAACATCCAACACGCTGCCATGAGGGACTTCATATCGAGAGTGTTAGAAGAGGTGGCCAAGGCAACGGCAACCCCAACGGAATCGGACACGGCGGAAACGGGAGCCGGTGACGAAGGCTCCGATTCCGCCGCCATCGCCGAGGACGTTACCGGCTTGGAACGGTGGATGGATCTCGGCTTTGGCATCGCCTTCCTCGTCACCGCCATCTTTGCGGCGAAGCGAATGTCGTGGACGCGCCAGCAAGGGGGAGCGGAGACGACCGTAGTCACCGCCTTTTATTCCCTGATCCTGGTGACGTCGATCTTCCGATCCACCTGGTTCCTGATCCCCGCCACGGTGTGGACCCCCAGCTATACGCCCGTAGCGATCTTTGCYTGGGACACSGAGCACCCGGCCTGGGTGGGAGCCTTTTTGTCGGAGTTTGTCCTGACGGCGGGGTCCTTGTCGCTCTTTAGCATCTTCATCCTCATTCTGGTCTACTGGGCCGACATTCTCAAGAAGTACTTCCACCCCGCGTCCCGCCGTACCATTCCRATGGTCACCTTTCTCGGGCTGGTGTCGCTTCTGATCGTGCTCGAGRTCATCAACATCGCCGCCTTTGGCTTCGGGCTCTACACGACCGAGGGGATGATTCTGTTCAACTCGATCCTTCTCGCCACCGTTTCGATCGTCTGCGTCGTCGAGATTTCTATTTTTTCGCACCGCTTCCGGACCGTCCTCAAGACGCTCGGTGCCATCAACCAGGTCTCCACGGACAGCCAGGTCAAACGGATCGTATGGATCACGGCAACGGGGAACCTCTTCTTCTTCACGCGCGCCTTCCTGGAGAGCGTMTTTTGCGGCTACCTGTACGTGTACTGGAAGAAGGACCACACGGTGGCCCGCTCCTTTTCCCACCCCTGGTGGGACACCTTTGTCGGAATCAAGTTCGTCTCGGAGGTCATCATCCTGTCGCTCATGCTCTACATCCTGCAGTCGAGGTTTTCTTCGAGCGCGACCGGKGACGGTGGTSCTTCCGGCGAAACCAGCGGCAACGGCCGTCCAACGGGGTACGTGAGCGTTCCGAACACGGACGAGGCCGCTCCGGCCCCGGCGGCGATAARCGTGTAGTGCAGAGCAAACAAGCGCACTGCTCGAACGTCTCTCGGTGATTGGCGCCTGCGGGACGGACCGGAGGCTCTGTTCCGTTCCGYGCAGTGCGGTTGCAACACTAGCAGACGATGGGCAAACTCGAAAACGGGACGTGTTGTTCGAATTTATTTGTATGGTTTGGTTCACGCAATCAATGACGAACGAACCCACTGTGGAGTAGTATTTTGTTACGAGTATGAAATGTTTGRCACAAAACAACCGACTACGAYTTTTAAATATTAAAATAAAAAAGGAACAAACGAAAAGAAACCACTGCACGGTAGAGTACAGTACAGCAGATAGACAAACRAATCCATTTCTCCAGATAGTACCGGCCCCGCRACCCACTCCGAAAGCGTAGTTCTTTCGCAGGAGYGGGGATTCTATTACAGTATGATGTTTTCTTGTAGTCAMCCATGGTCTTTCTGAGGTTTCCGATGTGACGACTTCTGTAGCCTAGTACCGATTGTGGTTTAGGTTCATTTTGTGACTATCGCTTGGAGTAGGAATACTGTTSATGAAATGGATGAGGTGYGCAGATAWAATTAGAAGTACTCTATTAGTAGCAGCTTTTTATGAATCTAGGTTGTCCTCGTTTCTAAACGWTTTGTGCATCTACCCGGTTGGTCATATCGATACGAGGATAAGCGACGGTTTGTATCGAGTCGAGAATCCTTCGTTCCGGTGGAAATCCAAGCACTCGGTGCGCTACAATACGTTTTCCTATCGATTGGTTCACTTCGGAAAAACTCGCGATTTTCGAGTTTGGTKTGGACCCGAAACAAGGGCATCATCTCTCGCGCACCATTCCTTTTCATATTACGATGTGTATTCGTAGATGGCGTCAGAGACCCCTTCAAACATCCGAAAAGCCCCAAAGAATCCCCGACSGTCCCGAGATCGGRTATCTTCTGTATCCACCTCTTCTTCCCTTGGTTTTGGACACGGCTTCTCCAGATCCTGTCGGCAGTACGGGCACGTGGAACTCTTCGGAATCCACATCCTGAGACACCTTGAATGAAACTTGTGTCCGCACGGCGTAGCTATCGAAATCTCCTGGCCGATCTCGAAGCCTTGGAGGCATATCGAACACAAAGACTTGTTGCACACTGAAGCTAGGGCCGCGTCCTCTTTGTTCGACTCCCGCAGAATCCTTTTATCAATGGCGAGATCGCTGGGTTCAGGTGGGTGGCATTTGATTTCCACAGAAAACGAATGGTAAATGTGTTCGATTTCTATCAGCGTGGACATCGGCAGCACCAGCGTTTGAAGAAGTCCGTAGAAACTCAAACAACTTAGCCCCAGAACCAGTTCAATTCCAGGAATATCATAAATTACCATTACTACCAAACAAAACAAGACGAGCCCCCCAAATGTCCCCAGTATGAATAGAGCACCATAGAGGTGGTGACACAAGTTCAAGGGTACCGAGCCCTGCGAAAAMTGCATTTCAACTMGTTCGATTTTTGAAAACTTTCTTCGATGGTGTCAATTGCTCTCTAAYAGTAGCGCCCAAGTGGTAGATTTTTTCACTGGGAAGGACTTCACAATGCGATGGGTACTTGGTGAACGACTATCAGCAGCCTGCAATACTATGGTGCATAGTAGTAATGCGTTCGTCTACTGGTGTCTGCTTTGATAGGGCGAAAGAGAGGTAATCGMGTTCCTGCCWAATGTTGTACSGGTAGGTAAATCATCGACGAATCAATCGCCCTCGGAATCCAAGCGCCTGATTGTACTCGCATCGGTATTCTTTTTTTCAGAYCGTCGTCGTCAAAAGCATGGAAAGCATGTGTCGAATGATGTTGATCGAATACAGTTCCGCAGCGCCGGCACAATTGCCCTGACGTCTAGTAGAGTGTTGTGCGTCACATTAAAGACTTAAAAAAGATACTCTACTCTACTATTGTACTTTAAGTACCGGTATTCGTAAATACTGTACGCTATTCAGAGGGGTACCGTAGTCTCCGTAGAAAGTAATACTATCCATAATGTACTTGTATTCGTTACTCCAACAAATATGGTCTGTCTGTCTATCCGTCGACAGGTATACTTCACTGGGTTTGATGAGATGTGGTGAGAACCAACAATAAAAAGCGGTGCTCTCCCAATCGCAACATAACGTACGAGTCGGAGTACGAGTAGGAGTACGAAACAACCGATACGCCAAATGGGAAAAATGTGGGTTGTTGGTTCTCATGTGAATGACCTAAATTCGTGAGTAACGATACGTAGCGGTAGCCCCCCCCCTTCGCCTTGAACCTCAAAGAAGAAAATAGTACGGTACCGATTCAAAAACTTCCGATAGTTGCAGGGCCTTGTGCAATTGAGAGAGCATCGCATATTATAACAAACAGTGTAATTGAAAGAATTAAGGATCATCATGACGACGACGGCGATTGGAGATTTTGTAGATGCGGAGGACAATACCCCACTCGTGCACGAGGTGGAAGAAAAACAGATTTTGAAAGGGGATATCATCAAAATTCTGGATGGACCATCGACGAAGGGGCGGAACGTATCTGGTCGTGCATGGAAGGTCCGTGCGCAGAAACGAGCTTCGAGTTTAGTAAAGACCAAGGTAAACAATGGAAGCAAAASCTGGGAACAACGCCGGCAAGAAAAACTTGCGCGTAAGGAAGCACTCGAATTGCAGTCAGAATTAAGAGAGGAGCGCAGGCAGGCAAAAATACAGAAAAAAGAGAGGAGATTAGAGAACGAAAGGAGGAGAGCAGAGAACGAATTCAACAACGCTCAAAAGTCCGCAAAGACACTCAATACTGGAAAGCTGAAATCGACGCTCAAGGCGATGTCGAAGAAACAGTTACGAAAGATCAAAAAGACGAGAATGAATTCGAAGACTGGCGTTTTGGAATATGTATCTGCATATGCGAAGTAACTTGTTGGAAACAATAGTATAATTGTTCGGCATTACATGCAGGCTATCTGGCCTTTTTTTCGATGCGGCTTTCTCATTCTAGGTATGGATTGCTGAAACGGTGGAATGATGAAAATGAACAAAGAAAAATATGAGAATGTTGGAAAGTCCCATGATGTACCAAAGAAATCGCAAGCTGCAGTTTCGAATTATGCCTTATTCGACAAGATCTCTATCTCTTTGCTTGTACTACT